AAAGACTGAAACGACAAAGACCAAGACCAAGACCAAAACGATGAAGACTGAGACCACAACAAAGTGCGAGTGAGTTTGGCTGGCTGTGATGAAGGCCTCTTTGAAGGCTAGATACACACAACCGGCTGCTGACGCCACAGTAAGGGATTGTAGAAACAAAGATTTGGAAGTTCCTAGTTGTGGAGAATAAGTCTTTTAATGTTGTAAGTGAAGGTAGAAATGCTGAGGATTTTTGAGGTTGCGCGAAAATAGCAGAGGGTTCAGGGTATCCATTTCATACTAGAAAATTGAAGTGGAGTAGCTGGTGGGAGGGCTGCTAAGAGACTTCTACTAGATCAAGGGTGAGCATTGTTGGGGTCAGAGTAAGAGGGGAAGGAATTATGCTTTGTGGCTTGCTCTAGGGAGGAATAGAAGATGGAGGTTTCTTGTCCTCTATAATAAGATATATTTACCTAAATGTGATGTTTATGTATTATTAAGACAATTACGTTATCTAGGAGGGGAAAAATTATGGTGAATGGATGTTTCCTATGTAAAAGGAAGGCAGAATCCTGTGACCATATCACGTTTTGGTGACTGTTTATGCACAACTTATAGACTATGGCCTATGGCTTTTTGGATTAAAATAGGCAATAATTGATTCAGTAAGACACAAGTTATGGGCATGGAGAGCCATCAGCAAGGAAGGAAACACTTAAATCTCATTCCTCTTACCATATCATGGGTTATGTGGAATAAGAGAAACAAGAGAGCTCCTAAGGGAAAGGAAGAGGATTTGGTTAGAATTAGAGATAGATATTCAGGTGTTGAGTTTTTTGGTAATGAGGCATCCTATTTTTTCTATTGAAGAATTTGGGGATTTTATTGACATTCTAGCTAATTTGTAAAATAATTTTGGACATAGGTGGCACCTCTCTGGTGCTATGATTTAATGATAACTATATGCTTTTCATCTCAAAAAAAAAAAAAGAACTAGTATATATGTAAAATGAGTTTATTGTTTCTTATTTAGTAATGGTCTTACGTTCTTGTTTTTTAGTCTTTTAAAAAATAAAAAGTATAATTATATTAGCATCGCACTACTTATTCTATTTAATAAATTTTTTATTAAAAAAAAATCTAATTAATTAACTTATTTCCCATTTCACAAAATTCGTAGATAGACCTAAGAGATTCTATTTTGATTGTGTTTTGGTGCCTATAAATAAAATACTTCACCTTAATTCTTCAACAAATTATTCATGATTATTATACAAATATTTTTTTTGAAATAAAAGAAAAATATTATTATGTATAAGGTACCAAGAGGATACCACCTGAATACATGATTATTATACAAATATTAAGTTATTAACTTGATCTTTGAGATTCGATAACTTCCTTTATGCTTCTTGTTCTTCATGTCTATCTAACATTCTTTTGTTCTCCCTCTAAAATCTTTACCTTTATCCTCCATTTCCTTCTATCTATCTATCTTCTATTCTCTTTCCCATATTTTCTATTTATTTCTCTAAATTGTAGGATAATTATGACTGAACCATTACTAGTCCTACATCAAAAAGGAAATAGAACCAAATGAAATTTCCACATAAAAACACATAAAAAATAACTTACCTTAATGCACCAATCATTTGAATGTTTGTACGGACCATTTCAGATTTAACTCCCTTAAGTCTCAAGTTCCGTACAACTTCAACTGTTGCCTTTCCCAGTAGATCATCCGACAAACTTGAGGCTAGAGATGCTGAAATTGAAATATTTTGTTTAGTGAAATCTTGATTGCAAGAGCTTATTTGGCTATGTCAAAAGAAATGTGTTTAAGCCACTAGGACTGTTTAAGAAATTTTTTTGCAGTTAGATGTTTATTTAAATTATATGCAGTTATATCTTTGAACAAAAACTAGTTGGGACTCTTTCCTTTAGAAGTTATTTAGGTGCTCTATAAAGAAAGGAATGGGAAAGTCATTAAGAAGTGGAGGAGAGCCCAGATAGAATTAGAGAGAGATTGTCCCAAACACCTGGTATTTTGATATTGAGGCAATTCAATGGAAAATCAAGGAGAACATACAGACATACTAACTGATATATAAATTCTTCTGAACATGGATTTTGCATCTCCTTGGTGCATGTAATTAATACAATTTACACTCTATTTCAAAAAAAAAAAATTGAATAAAAGTGTAAGGTAGAAAATAAGCACTTGATATATTTCAGTAAATAAAGAGATGAATGAAATGAATAGTAACTCAACATGTTAAAATAAATCAGCACTTTAAACCATGCACAAAGTGTATGGATGAGGCGCTTACGGTTTTCCATTCTAAAAAATGCCTCTAAAAACTGCATAGGTGCTTATAAAAATACCCCATAGGTAAATTGTCCTATAACCATCAGACACACTCTAAATAGATAACAAATTCACCACGGCCAATAACATCCAACTAAAGTTATTGGCATAGACCTAATGCAATAGTGAAAAATAGAATGACTATGTCCACTAACAAAAAGTAAAAGCACAACTAGTGACAGCTGGTAAAGTAGAGACTTCAGTTCCCAGACTTTCTATATCTACAATTATCAAGTGTCAAAATTGTGCTCCTTGCAATACCCTCGTTAATCAACTAGAGGAAAGATTGATCTCAATACAAATTAAAACAAGAAGCAAAACTAAAGCACCTATTCTAGCCAAAACTAGCTAACACCAAGCCTTGCCCAGATTTGCCCAAGCTTATGTAGCTTAATGGCCCTGTTGGTCTTACATGGTTAGAGGGTTCAATCCCCATCCTTAGTACTGGGCTAACAAGGAAAAAGGTGTGGCCCAGATTTGCCAGAGCTTCCGAAGCTCAGTGGCATTGTTGCTCCTAAATGGTTTGGGTTCAGTACCCACCCTTTACAAAGTCAGTGCAGGGCTAACCAAAAAAAAGTTTCTAGCTCGGGTTCCACCCCAAAACTTTCCATCTAAACCCAATTTCTCATGGTAATGAAACATCCCAGCAGAACTAGACAAAGATATGAACCAAATTCTTGATTTAAGTAATCTTACCAATAGAGGAAACTGTTTTTTTTCTGACTGTGGCTTGTTTGGAAATCAATTGGGACAATAGAGCATTTAAAAGCGCCTCATGGTCAGTCACCATTAGGTTTCCAAATTTATGCAGTACATCACATAAAATATCAAGGCATTCACATTTAATCTCTGTACTCATCCCCTGGGTCAAAAGATTAGCAACATAAAAAAAGATTAGTAACAAGTCTACAACAACCATTTACAACTCAAGAAATCAATCAGGTGACGAACAAAAGAATACTCTCAAAAAACTTCCAATCAAAAGGAAAAAAGAATTAAGAAATGAAGGATTCATTCCCAAGACCACAAAGGATTCATTCCCATACTTTTTATGTCAAAAAAAAAAAGTCATGAACACAGAAATTAACAGATGAATCCATGACACAGAACTGGAATATCCAAAAGTGGGGAGATTTCCATAGTAAAATATATTTTTATGTAATTGTAATGTCTATCTATTAGTAAGGCATTTAGGTTATTTAGGAGCTAGTATTTATATAGAATTAGTTTATTAATTCCTATTTACTTCGGATCTTATTTACTTATTTCATACTATAGGTTATTCTGATCAATTAGTTTCTTTTCTTAATTCATATAATTCCTTGATAGAATTAAAAGAATTCCTATTTGAATTGTGCTTTGGTTCCTATGATAATGCAAACAGGAAGATTCTAAAGTGGACATACTTCTAGTAGACTATCCATGATTATTGTTCAAATATTGAGATTTTATTTTGATTACCAAGATCCAAGATCTTCAATTTTGGTTGTTAACTAGTTTTCTCTAAGTTTTGTCTTGAAGTTCTCTTTGTCCAACATCAATCCATTGCTCCCTACATCAATCCATCACTAATATTTCTGATCCATTAATAAACCGAAAAGAAAGAGAAGAAGGTCATATACCCAACTATAACAAAAGATACTAACACTTACAAAATCCAACACATACTATGAAAAATCAATGCGTTCTCATAGAAACTATAACAAAGTAACAGCCATCCATTTCTTTATTGTCAAGGCTCCCCATAAACTCAGAATTCCTAATGTTTCGACATTTCTCTGTCCATCAATAATTTTACTGGGAAAAGCATGAGTTCTTTAAAATCTCATTACAACTCTCTCGATGTGTTGCTCAACATATACAATAATTTCCATCAACAAGAACAGTGAATGTTTGATAATTATGTGCTTACTGAACAAAAACATTGATAATGATCATAGTATATCAATTCAACAAAGTTTCATAAATTTATCAAGAATTTCCTGAACATTAATAATGTCGTTTTTGCAAGCATCAACATGTGCAAATTTGAAACCACTGATCCTAGAAATCATCCAAGTAAAAAGTTTATGCTAGGAATTTCAACAGATTGCCAAGTTATTACCCACTGTCGTCATGTTTTTCTAGTTTAGCTTTTCCTCGAGACATCCCCAAGATGAAAAACCAAAACACATCAGTAAAAAAATTTAATCATTCGACTATGCATATACTGGTTCCGCTCGTGTTTTAAATAGCATAAAAAATTGATGATAGAACCTGTAATATGTAAACAATATGGTATCAATATACCCCAGGCATGTTCATCTCATCCTGAAGCATCCAATAAAAACCAAGAAGTATGATCCAGACATACATAGAAACATGTGACTTCACTATCAGTTGAAGTCGATAGGCATCAATTAATCTCTTATCAAAAGATATCACTTACAGTTACAACCATAAATACAATTTGTTAAAGAAACATTGTTAAAACTTCCAGGTAAGAAGCACGGAGGGGTCCAGAAACATACCAGGCCAGTTATTCCTTTTATCAACTGGGATGGAAGAGAAACTAAAATAGATTGAGCAAGGGATGGAGTATTGACTTCAGCAACAATTGTTTTCAAAGCTATGCTTGCAATATCGCGATTTTGATCTTTTCCATTTAATAATTTATCACATAATTTATTAGTCATGTCTACAACTCGAGGCTCACTGACCTTCTTCACCAACGGAGCAAGACTGCAACACCAACAATAGTGAAAGGGAAAATGTCAAGTAAGCACCAATAGAACAGTTCCAAAAGTAATACTGCCTACCCTATTTTCCTCTATCAAAAATGAAAAACGAGAACCTCCCAAAGACACTAAAAGAAAACATACGGAAGGATTTATCAAATAAACAGGAGCTTAACAAGAACCCCAAGAAAATTAAATTATTTAAATTTTAAAATCAATTTGTGCAATAGTCACCTTCCAGTGAGCAGACAGATTAAGAATCGACATATTCCTAGGGAATTCCATCCACCTTACAGACTCCAGAAAAAGCAAAAAATTCAAATTGAATGTTTAGGAAGTACTTTCGTACAACATACAAAAACACACAAAAAGCATTTCTCATTCGCTCAAAAGATGCACATTGACCTATCAACTATAAATGGAAGGTAAGCATGTCTTTTCCACTAATCCTCCTAATCAATTGTGAGCAAGATTCAACCAAAGCCTACAACACAGGTAAATTTATATTTATAACAATGGGCACCAAACTAGTATTTGACATATAACATCATCAATTATCTATTAATCTTCCTTATCTTACCTCTAAAATCTCAACATGTGATATTAAATCCCAAAGCCTTACGCCATACAGATAACTTTAACGACCAAACTTGCAAGGACTGACACTTTCATTTGTCGTGGTGTGGCTAATATTCAAAGATCAACTAAGTGTCCTAATGAAGAAGAGAAGGTTCAACTTTTTTTTTTTAAATAAAAAGTATGAAATATTATTAAGTATAGACACCAAGGGTGTAATAATATCAATTAACTCTCCTAGTTCTTCCAGTAGTCTATATGTTTACACCTAAGCATAATAATAAGGGTCTGAAACCATCTCTCTCATAATTTATCCATAGCCTCTTCTACCCCGTCAAAAATTCTTCCATTTTGTTCCTTCTGCATCATCCAAAAGATTGCCAAAAGAATCAACGCCAAACATTTTTTCTTTTCAGACAAATCCTTCCAAGCCCATAGTTCTTCTTTCACAATCCCAGCCATAACCCAATTTACACCAATTAACTCGTACACCATAGACCACAAACTATACCCCAAGGGACACTAGAGCAACAAACAATAGCAAGTTTCCTTCACCTTCTTATATACACAACACCAATTATAGGAGATCCCCTATCTCCTCTTCTGTTTATCATAATGATGGAAACCCTACACAAATTACTTGAGAGAGCAAAGGAGCCACACATTCTCAAGGGGAATACTGTAGGCCACAACAGAAATTCTATGAAAATCTCACACCTCTTCTTTGCAGATGATACCCTTATCTTCTGCCAAACGGAGATAAGTTCCATGCTCATCTTGATATGCATTTTACTTTGTTTCCAAGCAATCTCAGGTATCAAAATTAATCTTCATAAATCTGAGCTGGTTGTCCTTGGGGGCTATGCTGGGGACCCATGGTCCAGTTTCTGGGCTGCAAACTTTCCCAACTGCCCATCGCTTATTATGTGTCCCTCTTGGTGCCAAATTCAAAGATAAAAAAAGTTGGGACCCTATCATCAATATGTTCCATAACTGGCTTGCTAATTAGAAAAGGAACCTCTTATCTAAAGGTGGTAGATTGACACTCATCAAAAGCACTTTCTCAAATCTTCCAATTTATTACTTATCCATGTTTTTTATTTCAGAAAAAGTTACTTATCCGTGTTTCACATGCCAATCAATGTTGCCAGACAATTAGAAGTTATTCAACGCAACTTCTTATGGGGAGACAGTGACAACGGCACCAAACAATATCACTTAGTAAATTGGAATGATGTCAAAAAGCCTACTAAGAGGGCAGCTTCGGTTAGAGATCTTTGGAAAACTCGACAAGGCACTACTGGGTAAGTGGATTTGGAGATTCTGGAATGATGAGAACAGCTTCTGGAAAAATGTGATCAAATGCAAATGGTTCAATGGGAATACTCATAATCTTTCCCGAATTAAAAACAGCTCTTATGGGCTAAGTTTATGGAAGAAGATTTGGGAACTCAACAATCTGATATTACACAATGCTAGATGGAAATTGGCAAAGGCAACAAGATACAATTCTGGTCTGATATTTGGCAAGGTTTGGATACTCTACAGGCTCGTTTTCCACAGATTTATGCAATAGCCAGAGACAAAACAATGCTGGTCCATGAAGCTATTGTTTCTGACTCGCATATGCACTGGCAGGTTTTGGTTAATAGACACTTGCAGGACTGGGGAATTAGATGAGTATGAAGATTTGCTCCACTTTTGGCAAATTTCGATTTATCTCACCAAGATTACAAGCTCAACTGGATCCACAGCAAAATGGACATTTCTCTGTCAAATCCCTTTATAATCTCCTGACTGGGAACATTACTAGAGGGCTGCAAAATTTCCCTGCAAATATAATTTAAAAATTGGGAATCACTCCCAGAATTTCTTTCCTTTGTTTGGGAGGCTCGCATTCTCACGATAGATAACCTGATGAAGAGAGGCCTTACCACTGTCAATCGCTGCTTCTTATGCAAAAACAATCTGGAAACTTGCAATCATCTCCTTCTCGAATGCTCTTTATCTCTGAATCTTGGGTTAGAAATGAAACACTCAAGCCGAACTACTAGCTGGGAAGATCTTAGCAGCAAGAATAAGTCTCTAGGGCCTATTCCTCTCACCAT